CCGAGTGTCTGATTTAGGTCACACCTCCGCAGTGTGGTTTATGTGACTGAAGTGGTGGGTTTTTAGAGGGAGCGAGACAGCGAGTGAGACAGAGGGAATCGGCGTAACCATAGCAACCAAAGTGCAGGGATGCTGAGAGCAGAGGCTTTGTCTTTACCCATATATTGTAGGACAGGTCTAAAGCGAAGCCATCTGCACACACACACACATACAAGCAGGGCCATCTGCAGTCCTGCATCCGGGCCAGCGAGGCGGAAGAACCGGGGCGCCTCCCTCCACGCCTAATTGCAAGAGTCATAGCAACCATTACACCCCATGGCATCATTACCATGGCAACCAGCCATCACCCATCGTCATGCACCCCACATTGTATAATGCACATGCTCCGTGCCGTCTCTGCATTCTCAGCTGATGCGTTTCTCTTGGTCTTTGTGTCCCATTTCTCCGTCTCCTCTCCATCACTGCATCCTGTCCTTGTTTGTTGCTGTTCTTTTTAATTTCCTTAAAGACAAAGGCAAATCCATCCCTCATCTCCCTCCTACATATTGTATAACATCCTGAGCAGAGGCATGGGGGCGGTAGAGAAAGATAATCTAGGAAAGGGGGCACAAAGAGACGTTTTTGTGAGAGGACTGTGCAGAGTTAGGCTGTATTTTATGTAGGTGGAGGTGGAACAAGACCTCAAGTTAATACAGTTTTTCCTCATGCCTTTGTGTATTTGTGCATGCTCCTGTCTGCCTGTTTGTCTGTTAATCATTTGGTCACAGCTATCTGACCAGATGTGTATCTCACCCCCACTACCCCATCTTTCAATAAACGAGGAATGTGTGTGAGGAAATGACAGTGTTTTATCAGCGAGGTCTTTCAAACAGGACACACACGTGTATATATACAAACAGTCAGGCCGAGCTCCTCCTTGTGTCGTGCAAACCTGCCCATGGGGTCTATTGGTTTTAATAAAAAATGGAATTCAGCATGAGAGTCCTCATGAGAATCAGGTGCAATGTCCCAAACACACTCTCTCTCTCACAAACACACTTTCTAATCCGTTGTGCAACTGGCGACCTCCTGCAGCGGGAGAATAATCTGTAAAAAGTGCTGTTGTCTTTGTGTCAACATCATAAAGCTTCACACACAATAGACCTCGGTTTTCCACGTGTCCTTTAGTTTGACATTCTTCCTTATTGGTTATAGTTACAGTGTTGTCTACTTTCTTTGTGTAGATATGTTTTTGTTTTTAGCAGTTTCTGTTGCAGCCGTCTCAGTCCACTTCTCCTTTTGAGGTTTTTAAACAGAGCTTACAATAGGACGAGACATCCATATGTCGTTGGGTTGACAGAGTTGTGCACTGTCTGCTCAAAGGGCTTTAAGATGAGGCAGAGTGTGTGGATCTGTCTGAACATCACATTTCTCCTTTTTGCAACCAGTAATGCACCTTTTAAGAGGTCCTTCGCTCCAGTGTACCAGGCCTATTTTTCACAGTAGTTGCAAGAGGAAGTTTAGTCTGAAGGACTAGGTTAAGGAGTAAGGTTCTTTAAAACTGGTGTCAACTTGGGTTTAATGTTTAACTTACTCTTCAGTTTTAT